CAAAATAGACATAAGTTAATTTAACTATTCTCAAATGAAATCCCTCACTTGAACATCTCGACAAGAGGCAAGATACTATAGTTGCAGCTTAGCTACCGAAGTTGGAGGAAGAGAAAAGTAGTGTGCATGTCTGTTACTACGGCGATCGAATGTTTTCACGATCTACACGCACATTGTACGCACACACTTGTCGCAAATGCAACATAAACCGCGCCTGTTTTACACGTCGTCTGTTCCTGGTTGCCGTGTCCAAATGTCTCGTCTGTCATTCCCTCTCACGCCCTTAGGGATCCGCAATTTTGGGGATGGAAAGCTTCACATAAATTATAAAACGCTATATGCTGTTGTTCGGCAACCCTTCTGACGGGAATAGTCGCATAATTCGGTGACAATCGACATGTCCCAGGTCGCCCTCTACCCAATTAGGGTGCGGTGCTGGCTAAATTAAAGGGGTCAGGCCTGATTTTCCCTCAGTGTGATCAATTAGCAAAGATGTCTGGTTAGCACTATCAACACGCGGCTAAGTTCAAAGCAAATGACACACTGCACTCCTTTATTGCAAAATCATCAAAAATCAGAAAATGATTCTCCTCATTCCAAAGCAAAAGAGGACGTATTTGAAAAATAGTCCCAGTCGACTCGCAAATAATTGCATGTTCCTCAGCTCAGATATATAAATCTACCTTTTTAAACTCGATTAGGCATAGGGTCACAGACACTTTCAACTTTTGTTGTTTCGGTTGAAATGAGTGGTAGTAAGAGCTGTAAGCAGAACTTTTTCGAATCACCTTTCGACCTTAAAAATTATGGAGCGAAATCGGTAGGTTTAAATTAAGATTGGGTAAATAAAACTGAGTTCTCTTAAGGCCACATTATGTTGAAAATGTTGAAGTCAACTTTGATCTCTTTCAAAAATACATCAATGCATACCTTGCGATGCGATTTGCGAACTTCGTTGCTCACAGCCGACAACTGCAGAGGAAAAGGAAGAAGGTGACTTTGATGTCTGAGCGTCAAACTGCTTTAAATTTGAAGTTCGAATTTAAGAGTCGAGTAAATACGAGAGACCTTTAAGTGTGGCGTTTTGGTGGTGACACATACGTTTCGCGAGCATGTACGCACGCAAGGGTAAGGAAATTGTTGACCGTTTTTTGTGCCCGAGCCGCAAAATCAGTTGTTCTTGCCACCACCGTGGTCATTTGTCACTGAGGCCCTACACAGCAACACCATCTATTGCCATCATCAGTATCATCATTAGAATCCTGTGCACGAGAAAAGCCTGGCCACTGAGTGAACGGGTGAGGGAAGAGAAGGGGATGATGCTAAGCTACTTACCCAGTCTGTGTTCGACGCGTTGATGACATTGTGGTCGCAAACACGCGCCCGCTGATTTCACACAACAGGCGTGTGTGCATACGCGTGTGACGACGCAGAGGGCGAGGACTGGACTGGGCTGTGTGTGTGTGTGTGTGGCGGTGTGGGGACAGAAAAAAGATGGCTCTATTGAGGTTTTCTAGTCAGTTGTCTCTGTCTGTTCCCTCCTTTCGCGAGTGGCAATGACATCGTATTCTGTCTTTTAAGTACACTTTTTCCATTCCTCTAGCTTCTACTCCGCTATCCTCTTTTAAACTTTTTATTTTGGTGACATTCCATGTAAGCAAAAACGGAATGACTTACTTTCAAAACCAATGATATGTTGGAGCAGAGGGTGTGTGTTCACTGTCCATCTGACAAGACGCCAAATTTGTGCAAATTTTTCGCTCAGACCGGAGCCACTGTTGATGTTGTTGCTTCTACCTCTGCAGTGTGTGGCTGCGTTTAATATACTGGAAGGAATTACATACAGCGCAAATGTTTTTGTAAAGATTGATACGCCTCTTGTTTCTTCCAGGCGGGCATTAATGTCTTGCGTCTGAAAATGCTATCGCCACACGCGCATATCGCTGGGATCGAGTGTGAGAGAGGAGGCAAGAAAAAACAAAATGCAGTAACCGGGGAATGAGAGGGAAAGAGGAGGAAAATTCGTTGATGATGATGAATAGTGCGAATGGGGTGGAGACTTGAAGAAACGAAAGAAGGGGTCAGATAAGTAGAGGAGGGGAACAAAACTGAAAAATATTTCCTTGTCTCCTCTAAGTCTTACGTTTAGTTGGTGACTAAATGGATATCATGGGTTTTTATTGAAACCGATCTTGGTTCCTCACACGGATCTATGCGGCAAATTCGACAAAGGTGTCACAGAAAACACAAATTACCCTGACAGCAGTAAAGGAACATCAGTAACTGTAGTAGCTATAGCAGCAGCGCATGGGTGGGTGTGCGGTTGGGTTACAGAAGTATCCCTATCCTAGCAGTTGTCACAGTCCATTAACGAGTAAAAAGACATGCACGCGTGTGTGCGCGTGTCCATTCTTGTGTGCGTGCACACGTGCATGTGCTTTAGGAGTTTTGTTTCATGTACTGTCAACAGTACTGCTTCCTTTCCCCACCCGCCACCCCGTTACAGCACCCCTCTTCTCTCCCTTTCTCCCTACCTCTCCTAACTACAGGCCCATGTGTTCCCCTCATAGCAGCCCACAAATGTTGACAAATGTTCACCGCATTTGTGTGGTACACCGAATCGTGTTTTTGTTGCGTTTAGGGTGTTGGGTGAGACCTCCAAAATGACCAACTTTCGCCATTGCTGCTGCTACACTTACTCCATGCAAAAAGATGGCAGTTTAGTCGTTGCCCACTTATGTCTAATTACCTTTAACAAGCGACATTGTTGCCCGTCAACTAGGCTTTTAAGCATGACCTACCTTAAATATTGCTTCCTTCCATTGTCATGCTACTATTACGCTGATATGAAAGGTACTCCAAAAGCGTGGTAAATGGCACAGAAACTTATAGCCTTCATCGTTTATGCAATAAAAAATTATTTGCAGAAAAAACAAGTTAAGAAAAACCTCAAGGCTAGATAGCCTTACAAAAGAGACCACCCTGATGGATTGAAAACATCATAAGTTTTCATAAACTAATTTTAGGCTGGAACGAAGCATATTCCGACCTCCCACTCTGTTAGATGCGCCAGCGCCGGCTGCGAATGCAAAGCCTTCCAACCGAGAGTGAGTGCAATCCGTCAGTGCTCGGGCTGCTCGCATTCCTGGGTTTTTCATGGTAATGTCTCGCCACTTTTTTCACATCAAATTATATCTACAATCAAGAATTTTCAGTAACCAAACTCGTTTAATAATTGATGGATCTCAACTACTCATGCGCATAAACCCATTTTTAAAATCTCATTTCTGTTACTATATGGAGTTATACTTAAATACTAAAACGCATCTTGTTTTCTTTAAAATCAAAACAACTACAAATTCGGCAATATTATAATAAGTTTTGACATCATTTTGATTTTTATCGAATCTTTCTACAAAGTGGAAATTTGCAGAGAATCCACAAAGCA